ATATTAAACCACCAACATCTTTTATTTGCTTATATTTATTTACACATTGTGTGATGTAGCCAAATAGAGTGCAGTTATATGCCCCTAAAATTCCAGATATGAGGGCAAACAATGCTACTGTATGGGTTTTGTCTTATATTTATATAATATGACATAGTTTAGCAAGATCATATGAGCAAGAGTGCCATTTTTTTCACCCAGAATATCTGCATGATTGCAAATGTAATACTGGTTTTATACAGCAGTTAAATAAACAAGAAGTTAATATTGTGTTACATTTTAGACTCTATATTGTCTGTTATTGCCCAATTTCTCCGAAAAAATGTTTCAAACAAAGCCACAGCAGAACGGTTGTATGTCTCCAAGCAACAACCAAGTTTTGTTACTGAATGAATCCACGTTTTTTTAACAAATGGAGTAAGTTAATGATTCAGTGACACTGTGACAGTCACTTTGCTTCATTCTTGAATCAGCACTTTAAACGAATTGGCTGAATGAATGACTTGCCGCCACCTACTGGCAGTTTTAGTTTCATATTTAAAGTATAATTTTTTTTTTATTTTTTTATATAATTTCAATATTATTGGCACATTGTAGCCTTAAAAGTTTGTGTGTAATTAATTTTGTTAAATTTCTTTCTAAAGCTACTTTTTTGTAATGTTTATGCAATGCTTTTCTTATTTATCACAATAAAAACTTGAATTAAAAACTTGAGTTAAATGACCTTAAGGGGGTAATTTCAGACCAAATTGATGAGTTAATTTGCAATTAATTACATTAATTAATCAGCACATCATGTAATCTATTAGATAAAAAATGTTAAATCCTTGACAACCCTAATATCTATATAAATAATCAATCAGTCTCTTCTCTCTGGTTTGCATCTCTTAGTGCTCTTCCCTGTCCTTTCCCTCTATTTTTCCCTTAAACTGTAAGATTTCCCATGACTGCAATAGAGCTACAGGAACACGTGCCCTTAATCAGATGCCAATAACCCTGATAGAAGGTTACTTTATTAGCTCCACTAAAGGAAATCAATAAAGCCCGAATGAACCTTTGCACACCCCCATCCCTTTCTCTGAGTGACAACTTCAGCCTGATCATCTGCCTGAGAATGGACTGCTGAAAGCTCATCTAATCAAACAAAACGTTCATAATGGTCCCATTTACACCTGGTACTAACATTCA